CGCGGCCGGGTAACTTCCGTTTCCTTAAAAAGCTGGACTCTTTGAAAACCACTTTCAAAGTGTGGGACGGCCATAGTCGCATTAAAACCAAAACATAAATGTGTAATGAAAATAGAGAGTTGAACATGGTGCCAAGTAACATCCATGTCCCGCTGTCTCCTGTGGCTGTCTGTGGCCTGCTCTTTCTTCTTTTTAACGGGCACTTGAGCGTAACTTTGGTTCTGTCTTTCAGCTGCAGAACTCGTCCATCCAAGCGGCTGTGTTACTCAGTTCCCCAAACACATCACACCAGTTGTGTCTTTGTGGACGCGCAAAGTGTAAAAAAGACGCATCTTGTGTTGGACCCTCAGGTGCAAAAACAAGTGAAGAAAAGTTGTTTCCTGTCTTGTGCCGAAGTTCTTTTAATCCGTTTCTTCTTCACATTAGAAACCATCAGCTGTGTTTCACACACAAGCTCTTCCACATGGGAAACGTTATGAAATGTGTCTTGCTATCGCCTCCGGGCAGGTGGTTTTCACTCCTGCGCTCCCGTGGCAGCAGGTAGCGCCGGTGGTTGCTTCTTCCCTTCTCTTTTCCAGCCGTCTCTCAGCCAAAACGGTCCCGACGTGCCCAGTGTGGCACAAAAGCCCGGTAAAGAGCAAAGAGATTCAGGAGTAGGGTAGCACCGTGCGCGTCAGTGTGAGGGCGGTGCTGTGGCGTCTCTCTCTCTCTCTCCCTCTCCCTCCCCTTCTCTCTGTCCCGCTCTATCACACACACACACACACACACACTCTCGCTGTCTCGCTCTCTCTCTCTCACCTGAGCGCTACATTCCTGCGTCAACACGCATTTCTCGTCCGGTCACAGCCCAGCAGCTCCTCTATCGGCAGAGGTGACACAACTTTTCCAACACAAAACATGAGGTGAAGAAGCGCTGCTCTTCTCTGCAGGAAGATCATTTCAGAACTAACCTAATCAAGCGTGAGCAGTGAAATGCAGCGAAGGACCAAGAGTGAGTGGAGGAAGGTTCATGTCACATCTGGCTGAATAAAATCCTCAAAGTTGGAGATTCTTGTTTTCATTCATCCACAGGAATGATTTTAATTTCTTTGGTCCTGGAAACTTAGTGGTTTCATTTAATGATTTAATCAATCTTAATAAAAGATGTTTCTTACACAAACACCGGATAAATGTAGTGGACTACAGGAGAAAAAGTCTGGACCAAGTCCTGTGCAAAAATCCCCTGCAATGTTTCTTTAATAGCCCCAGAGCATGGAAATTAGTCAGGATAAGCAAGAAAATAAAGGGAGTCATAGTCTGTGATCTCAAACCAGGTGAACTCCAATGGGAGATTCTGGAGTGATGTGTCAAACCTTCATCAAAACACCAAACAGGAAATATCTTGTGTGTGTGTGTGTGTTCGTCACTATAATATTAGTCACCTGTACTTGTCTTTACTGTACAAGCTGCTGTTCATTAAAACTTCACAGTAAGGAACTTGATTTTCCTCACACTTTATTTAAGTATATTAAACAATAAGAATCGTACTCAATGGCTTATACACCCTCCTCATCCTCTCCGTGTTGTCTGTCCTTTCACCATCATACCATTTCCTCCACACCTTTCTCCCTCTGCTCACATTCCTCCTGCTTCAGTGACATACACCTCATCTTCACCTACATGTCAGGACATCTTTCTGTGTTAATCACTTCTACAAGATTAAATGTCCCACTGCCTAAAACGTGTAATTGGATCCCGACTCTGAGTGAATCTCCTTTGTCTCTCTCTGAGCTTTGTATCTGAAGTGCCATATCCCCTTTTAGCAGGTTTTGTTTTACAGGTGGAGCCCATTTTGTGATGTATGAGGCAGCTCATCTCCAGTTTCTTGCTGTGCCTGTCCAGCTTTACAAATGGGATGACTTAACCACACGGCCTCTCTGTGAACTCAGCCCTGTCTCCACCTCGCTCTGTCACATTCCCTGTGAGTTCAGCCAAGACAAAGCTGTGATACAGTTTCAACACGCGACCTTGAACTTTCATGTGGAGCCGCGCAGACAGAACAGAGGAAATGGGACAGAGTTTGTTTCTTCACGTGGAGCCAAGGGGGTTGAACTCTGAGGTCCCGCCACCGTTTGTTAGCGCCACACAGAGATGGAGTCAGTGAAAGGACCAGGCTGAGTCAGACCACTTACTGGTACACAGGCCATGTATGACAGATTTACTCTCATTAAGAAATTGTCATTGTCACAATGACAATAAATAAAGTGTCTTGCCCAAGGACACTTCGACCAGTGGACTGCAGGCACCTAGATTCAAACCTTCAACCTTCTGGTTGGGAAACGACTGCTCTACCCACCGCACCACTGTCGCCTCCCCATAAGGTAGAGGTGTTCTCCAACACCTCTACAACCTGAGCCTAAGTCGAGAGAGGGTGCCACTTCTCTGGAAGACTTCTTGTTTGGTTCCGGTACCCAAGAAACCAGTACCATTGGGCCTTGGGGACTATCGTCCAATTGCTCTCACATCGCATGTGATGAAGGTGCTGGAGAGGCTGGTGTTGGTCCATCTCGAGTCGCAGGTGAGATCGTCTCTTGATCCCCTGCAGTTTGCCTACCGGCCACATTTGGGGGTTGATGGCGCTGTTCTTTACCTGCTGCAGCTAGTTTTGTCACATCTGGATAGGGATGGGGGCACAGTGAGAGTCACCTTTTTGATTTCTCCAGTGCCTTTAACACCATCCAGCCTCCACTATTGGGAGAGAAGCTGCGGCAGG